TCGAAGCAGCTTTATTTGTAGTAGTTGAAAACTAGAAACAGCCCAAAGGTCCATCAACGGGTCAATGGATAAACAGATTGTGGTGTGTTTACACAATGGAATACGATTCGGCAATAAGAAAGGGATAAACTATCATTGATACACGCAACAAGGTGAGTGAATCTCAAAATGCTGATTCTGAGCGTAAGAAGCCAGTCACACATGCTGTGTGATTCCATTTATAGAAGATTTCAGAACATGCAAACTAATTTATATGACAGAAAGCAGATCAGAGGCTCCCTGGGGATGAAGGGTGGTGGAGGGCAGAAAAGAGGGATTGCTGAGGGGTATTAGGAAAATTTTGGGGGTGATGGATATGTTCACTATCTTAATTGTGCTAATGGTTTCATGGGTCTATACAAATGTCAAAACTTACCAAATTGTACACTTTAAATATGTGCTGTTTATTGTATGTCAATAAAGCTGTTAAAAAAAAGAAAATTATAGTGCTTGGTTGATAACATACTGTGTTGAGGAGTTTCAAAGTGAAGTAGTGACAGGTCAGTCCCCATCTAGGGGATGGTACTTCTCCGGTGGTTTGCAGTGCTGGGGAGGCCAAGGCCCGCCACCCCGTTCTCACAGGCCATTTTGCCTTCCACAAGACTTCCCATCTGTGTGTTGGAACCTTCGGTCAGTGAATGGTAAGTAGGTGCCATGGGCCCAAATAAGACTGAGAGAGAAAGTGAACCCACTGGGCGTAGACTCCCCCCTCCGCCCCCACCCTGGTTGCACCCTCTTTTGGGAAATCCTCAAAGCCTACATCCTTCCATGAGCTTCTGACAGCAGCATCCTCAGGGATGGACTGTGAATCAACTCACTGACCTCTAGACAACTTGGTCCCTCCCTCTTCATCAGACTTTTTGCCAGCTGCCTTGAATTGATTTTTCAGATGCTTGCCCCATCTTTTCTACAAGATTGTACCCTAACACATTTCCTTTTTGCCAGGGCTGTTGGGAAGCTCACAGTCAAGGATGGTGTCTGACTGTAATGGTTAACTCATTCTAGGTGCCTAGTACCAGTTAATTTCTTGCTCCTTTCAGCTGGTTTTTGTTATTGATTGATCTCCCTCTCTTTTTTTTAAAAAAAGATTTTATTTATTTGAGACAGAGAGCATGACAGAGCAAGCTAGAGAGCACAAGGTGGGGGGCAGAGGGAGAGGGAGGAGCGGGCTCCCAGCTGAGCAGGGAGCCCGATGAGGGGCTCGATCCCAGGACGCTGGGATCATGACCTGAGCCGAAGGCAGATGCTTAACTGACTGAGCCACCCAGGTGTCCCTATTGATTGATTTCTATATTTATTTTTAATATATCTGTTCTATGGTATGTTCCATCTTAGGAAGTCATCTCAGTTTCTTTTCACAAATAGATGGGGTTTCAGCCATTGTAAAAAGAAATGCGAGAGGTTGAGGCATGTCCTGTACGTCGTCCTTGTGTCCCACCATATCTGGGAGAGTACATTGCATGGGAAAATGCTCATTAAAAGTATGTTGAATACATTATATAATTCCTAATACTTATTGTGTCAGAGGCTCTCCTGAGGGAAAGTTCTGTAGGGACACTGAGTGACAACGGATGTGCATCTTTTTTATTTTCTATCTCCCGTGGCACCTGTCTGGTAACGTCAGTGCAGGTGCTAAGGTGCCTGCTTTCGTATCTTTTTGGTGCCTGGAGCCGCTAAGTGTCTCGCTGGATGGACAGCCCCAGAGGGCACCTACCCAGTGACTCACGGGGAGTTGTTGCTCCTCCGAGAGGAAATCAGTGTCCTAAGTCTGGTACTCTGTGTTTCCAGTAGTGGCATTGTCCTTCGTAGCGCATCTCTCCCAGGTTTGGCACCCCCCAGAGTCTCTGCCTGGTGCTTTTAGGAACTTACCTCATTTTCTTGAAATCGGAGGCTCGTCTTTACCTTGTGACTCAGTGAGGACAGCCATTCGGAGCCGGGAATGGCTACCTAGGGACATCTGGCTGCAGCCGAAACTGCCCATCTCTCATCCTTCCTAACAAGGGCCACATGATTTACATTTCAAAATGTTCCAATAGGACCGCGCTCAGCATGGCTAACGAAGGATTTCAGCATTTGGCAAAGAAATGGCAGGGTTAGTTAAAATGGAACTGTTTCGTTGAGGAGTGATGGTCTTTTAACGAGCTCCCAAGAAACCCATGGAAGGGTCTGCAGAATAAAGCAAGAGGGCTCCCAAGAGTCAGAAGCCATAAACAAGGACCCCTAGTAGTGGAGACACAACCCCTATTTTCATTTTTATGGCCCCTTCTTTGTTCTTTCCCTTGCTGTGTGCTAAGGATATAGAAATTTTGTTGGTAAGAAAACAGATTAGATCATGTTCTGCTGGTTCTCAAACAGCTTTACTAGATTACATCCCCAAAGTGAGGAGTTTAAATTTTTGGTTTGGTTTTTAGGAGCCTACAGGATCTGCTCACAACCTTCCTTTTTAATTACTTGCTCCCCGTTCTCTGTCATCACATGTCCTGGGCTTGGACTATGCCAGCCAGCTCTTGGCAGCTTTGCACTTTTGCTCATCCTGTACCCACTGCATGAAAAGTCTTTCCTGTTCCCATCTATCCACTCCACCCTCCGTTCTGTTTACAGAACTCAAATTCCTTCCCTAGTGAGGAAAATAAACCGCACCTCCCTACGCCAGTGGTACTTTGCTTGCCCTAATTTCACTGGGTCTGGATAATAGATAACCGTCCATTTCTGCTTCTCCCCAAGATCCTAAGCAGCCAGAGGGCAGAGCCTGGCGGTATATGGTTGTATCTTCTAGTGCCTAGCCAGAGCCCCGGATGCAGGAGACTCTCATAATCATGGGTTGTGGAGTGGCGTGTTCTTGTTCTTTTATTTTTTTTTAAAAAAAGATTTTATTTATTTATTTGAAAGAGAGAAGAGAGCATGAAAGAGGGAGAGAGATGGAGAGCGAGAGCAGGAGCAGGGGGGCAGGGGCAGAGGGAGAAGCAGGGAGCCCGATACAGGGCTCCATCCTAGGACCCTGGGATCATGACCTGAGCCGAAGGCACACACTTAACCGACTGAGACACCCAGGCACGCCTCTTCTTGTTCTTTTTATTTTTAAAATTATTTTAAAAGATTTTATTTGTCAGAGAGAGAGAGAGAGAGAGCACAAGCAGGGGGAGCGGCAGGCAGAGGGAGGACCCTGGGATCATGACCTGAGCTGAAGGCAGACACTTACCTGACTGAGCCACCAAGGCGTCCCTCTTCTTGTTCTTTTAAAACCAAGTCTTATTAATTCAAAGTATGCCATACATTCTCACTAAAAAGTGTAAGAGTGAAAAGTCACTCCGTTCTCTAGCCACCAGATTCCGTTCTATGTGAATAACCAATATTATCAGCTTCTTATGAATCCTTCTAGACACATATAAACATATTTTTCTTCCTCCTTTTTAAAATAAATGGGATCATACTTAAACAGTTTTGCACTTTGCCTTTTCACTTTACTATGCTCATATACACATATTTTTAAAACTTATTTAACCAATTAACTATTGATAATGTTTCAGTTATTTTCATTCTTTTGTTATTAAAAACAATGCTGCAATGAATAATCTTGTATATTTGCCCTGTTCAGATGTAATTTACGTAGGAAGAATTTCTGGAGGTGGAATTGCTAGGCAAGTAGGTATGGGTACTTTTAATCTTGATCATCATTGCCTAATTGTTCTCTGTAAAGAATGTCCAGTTTCACACCCATCAGCAATATATGGGAGTCTCTGTTGCCGCACCGTTGCCAACACGATGTGTTATTAACTTTTGGACAAGTTCTATTTAAAAAAAAATAAAATTAGATTTAATTTTCAGTGTGTGTGTGTGTGGGTGTAACAAATTCATGATCACCTCTTGGGTTGAAAATCATCAAAAGTATCTGGGGGTGTTAACAATCTGGAGATTCTGACCCCAGGTTCACGGAAAAGTAATTGTTTGACTCCAAGGATAATTAAGGAATATGATAGAAAAATGTCATGGATAACCAATTTCTTTAATAAAGAGATTTTACTTTTGTGAAGCAATTTACAGATTTTAGATGCATTTTACATGCATTGTTTTCGACCAGTGGGTACATTCTTACACTTTCAAGAATTTAAAGCGTAACCGGGAGGAGCCAACTTGATGAACACTTTGATGTTTTGGGTAAGATTTTGTATCTTCTGATTATTTTAGTAAGGGGATTACTAAAGAGGTCAGAAGATAGTCTGAAATCTGCTCCACAGTCGTGTTATGAGGATTAAATAGGATGTCTGCAAAACTTTTGTCACAATACCTGATACATAACAGGCACTCAATAAAGTAGCGGTAGTTATTAGCTAACAAACAATAGGCTGTTTGTTATATGCGTTGATGACAGATTAAGGGGCTATTTAGGTGATAAAATCTGCCCTTTCGGCAGTAAGGGTTCTGGCGCCCGATAAATTCCTCTCTAGCACTCATGAGCAGTGTGACTTTGAGCACATCCCTAACCTCCCCGGCCTCAGTTTTCACATCTGGAAAGTGGAAGAATAAAATCCAAGGCTCAAGGTTTGCCCTGATCTTAAACGTGCAATACTCCCAACTGCTTGCTACACACTAGTTCTCTTCTTTCCTCCCAATCTACTGACTGGAGCCATCAAGAACCCATCGAAAAACCCGATAACCCCAGGAAACCAGAGGGATCGAGACCAGGGCGACACGAGCTTGTTCATCGCCGCCGGTGGGCCGCGCGTCCGAGGGCAAAGGGTCACGAGGGACGCGCGATCTCTGACTTCCCCCCAACCGCCCCGCCCCGCCCCGCCCCTCCCCTCCCCTCCCCTCCCCTCCCCTCCCCTCCCCTCGGCGAGGAAGACCCCGCCCCTGTGGAGGCGGTCGCCCCCGGGCGATCACCCCGGCAACGCCGTCTTCCGGTCTGCTCGGCCCGCCCACTTCCGGCCCCGGCGCGGCGCGTTAACGCAGGGCGGTCAGGAGCAGGCTTCCGGAAGGGGGGCGTGGGGGCGCGGTCCCGGGCGGAGGGCGGAGGGCGGCGGAGCGCGGGGGACGCGTGGCCTGATCTCGGCGTCGCCGCCGGCACCCAGGGCTCTGCGCAGCCATGGACAGCGGAGGGCGGCCCTCGCTGGGCCAGTTCATCCTCTTGGGCACCAGCTCTGTCGTCACCGCCGTCCTGTATTCCGTGTACCGGCAGAAGGCCCAGGTCGCCCAAGAGCTCAAGGTCAGTGCTGGAGCCAGCCTGGCCTCAGCCGGCTCACCCCTGCCCCCGGTAATGGTGAGCCCGCGGTTCGCCTCGGGCTGCTCCAGCGTCGGAAACCGGCCCTTGAGGCGTGTCGCCGCCGAGTCACGGGAGGAACTAGGATCAGAATTCGGGTCTCGTGATAACCGCTGCACTTCCCCTTTTCTCAGCCGCTCTCATTGCTCAGAATCTCGACCTGATCACTTTATTCGACAAATACTAGGGGCCGCCTGCTCTGCTCCAGGCATTGGGGCTGTCGCCTGGATAGAAGAGACGAAAGTCCCTGCCCTCATGGAGATTCCGTTCTGGTGCAGCCAACCAGGCAATAAACAAGTACCTCAGATGGTATGACAGATGGGGAGAAAAATACTACAGAATCATGCGGGGAAGAGAGGAAATGCAGTGGTGTGCTATTTTAAATAAGGTGACATTTAACAGAGTCCAGGAGGAGGTGAGGGAGACCACGCAGGTGTCTAGGGGAAGAACAGTTCAGATGGAGGGAACAGCCAGTGCAGGAATCCTAGACTTTGCCCGTTTATGTAACCACTCACTTCTTGCTTCTACAGACTCTTCCTTTTTAATATTTTAGTTTATTTTAAAAATAACGCTTGGGGCGCCTGGGGGGCTCAGTCGTTAAGCGTCTGCCTTCGGTTCAGGTCATGATCCCTGGGTCCTGGGATCGAGCCCCGCATCGGGCTCCCTGCTCCGCGGGAAGCCTGCTTCTCCCTCTCCCACTCCCCCTGCTTGTGTTCCCTCTCTTGCTGTGTCTCTCATTTGGGTTCTGTCGAATAAATAAAATCTTAAAAAAAAAAAAAAATTTCTTTCTTAGGCTGCCCTTTACAGCTTAGCACATTCTCTCATCTTGTTATTTTTTTCTTCACAATAATTTTTTTTTTTAAGATTTTATTTATTTATTTGACAGAGACACAGCAAGAGAGGGAACACAAGCAGGGGGAGTGGGAGAGGGAGAAGCAGGCTTCCTGCGGAGCTGGGAGCCGGATGAGGGGCTCTCTCCCAGGACCCTGGGACCATGACCTGAGTTGAAGGCAGACGCTTAACGACTGAGCCACCCAGGCGCCCCCTTCACAATGATTTTTTTGAGGTGGGGAAAATGACAATCATCTCCAGATTGCAAATCAGGAAATTGAGACTCAGAGCAAAGGTCTTTCAGCTACTTGGGTTGGAACTTAAGTCTTTTGATTCCAAGTGTAGGATTTTTTTCCCCCCTGATTGACCACATTGCTTTACTGTGAATGTCTGACTGGCCCATGAGAGATGGACCTCTTTAGGTCAGAGACAGGGTCTTATTTATCCCTTTTTCCCCTCTTCCCCCTTCTAGGTTCTAATTCAGTGCTTGACAAGTGGTAGATGCTCAGTAAATGTGGATTCCTTTCGGCTGAAATGTCACAATACCACAGTTAGGGCTTCACTTGACATGTATTTGAAGAAGGCTTCCTAAACCTGACTTAGTTCGTTATCATCATATTGTTTTCAGGAAGGGCTTAGAAACCAGTGTGTGAAGTCCCTGCCGTGGAGGGGAGTTTGGGAATCCATCCGGAATGAACCAGGTTACCAGGCAGTTGTATTTGTGGTGCAAGTGACGTCCTAGTGAGATTCCAGCTGCCCAGTTGTTTGTCTGATTATAAATAAGCGAGTTATGCTGAAGTCATTGGCTAGAAGTGTAACTGATACTTCACTTTCTGACTCTGAAAGTCTGAAATCAGGTTGGCATCAGGCTGGCCGAATGTGGGACCTTTTGCCAGTCAGTTCCCAAATGAGGATGAAATGGCCCCTTGCTGGAAAGAGTTGGGATACCTAATATTTTAGATTCAGTTTTCTTGATCAGATTACAAAACTTCCAGAGTAGGTTTGAGTCTTATCCTTGTGTAGCTCTCCTAGTGATGGGAATGCATATTTATTGCTTGCCTACATGTGCCAGCCCCTGGGCTGGATTCCTTCCAACCTTATGCCTCATTTATTTATTTATTTATTTTTTTAAGATTTTATTTATTTGAGAGAGAGAGATAGCGAGAGAGAGCACGAGCAGCAGGGAGAGGGAGAAGCAGGCTTCCCGCGGAGCAGGGAGCCCGATGTGGGACTCCATCCCAGGACCCTGGGATCATGACCTGAACTGAAGGCAGACGCTTAACTGACTGAACCACCCAGGTGCCCTCCCATCATTTAATAAACATAAAAATCCAGTGGCAGTTTTCTCTCCCATTTTCTACAGCTTTGGAAACAGACTCAGGTAAATTAAGTTGCTCAAAGTCATAATAGATGCACTGAAGCTTGATTCAACCTCAGGTCTTTCTGACCATATTCCCTCCGCCCTTTAAAAAAATTCTAACTGGCTATCCTGTGATGGATACTCTACCGGCTGTGTGACTTGGAGCAAAGCACTTCACCTCTCTGAGCCTCAGTTTCCTGATCTGTAATTGGGGATAATAATACCTTCTGTATAGGGACCGTAGGAGCTTTACATGAATTTATGCTTTTAAAGTGTTTAGCATAGTACCCGGTATATACAGTTGACCTTTGAACAACGGGTTTGAACTGTTTGGGTCTACTTACGCGCAGATTTTTTTTTTCAATAAATACAGTACTATGAATGTATTTTCTCTCATGATTTTTGTTTTATTTTTTTAAGATTTTATTTATTTTTTGACAGAGAGAGACACAGCGAGAGAGGGAACACAAGCAGGGGGAGTGGGAGAGGGAGAAGCAGGCTTCCCGCTGAGCAGG